CTTTCCTTTCCCCTTTCCTTTCCCCTTTCCTTTCCCCTTTCCTTTCCCCTTTCCTTTCCCCTTTCCTTTCCCCTTTCCTTTCCCCTTTCCTTTCCTTTCCCCTTTCCTTTTCTTTGTCACTATCTAAAATAATCAAGTTCTTTCTAACACTCCAGTTCTCTGAGGACTCATTAGTTCTTCCTAAAAGCCTGCACAAATTTTGTTTCAGTCATATGCTGGGATGAACTTACCACCACAAAAGTAAATGATTCTCTTTTGTCCTACATCTTTTCCAGTGATGTTTCGTGTGGTCACTTTGGATAGCCAGTTCAGACCTGTTCAGGAGACAGTAAGTAAGAATGATAGTCAAGATTTTTTGAGCATGTCTTTGGAATACTCTTCATAGAGATTCGCTCACTTGTATGTTGAGTAAAAGGGAGCTGGAATTGTTCCCAGTGTTCTTAGAGAACTGCTGTAATTTCGTACTCTATCCCTTTCCTGCCTTTATAGAAGGCAAGGTTTCTGAAAGCACTCCTGGAAATCTCTCAGTGCTCAGATTTTGTGGTCATTTCTCTTCAAATGCCCCTGATATGTAGAAAGAGATTGGATGTCTTTATGTAAAAGATAGATTCATAAACAGTTTGTATCCTAAAATTATCTCTTAAATTACAGACATGAATTTCAAATTGTTTCCTTAAGCCAGTTATCAGTATTCAGAGGGATTCAACCAGTATTTTTCAAAGTCCACAGTTGATTTCTTTATGCTTTGATAACTTTTTCTTTTTTCTCTCTCCCTCTTTTTTTTTTTTTCTCCTCCAGTATCCCCAAATCATCATTAAGGTAAGAGATGCACTGTCATTAAAGTGACAGTTTCTTTGGAAATGCCAATGCTGTCATTTCCAAAACATGATTTTCTCATTTGTCTTTTGAAGTGCATGTTCCTCACTGATTCTACTGTCAATATTAGGCATCCAGAACAAGTGAAATTGATGTGTCCAGTTCTGGGCTCTTCAGTTCAAGAAAGACAGAAACTACTGGAGAGAGTTCAGGAGAACTACAAAGATTATTAGGGGCCTAGAATCTCCCCCTTATGAGGAAAGGCTAAGAGACCTGAGATTGTTCAGCCTGGAGGAGATCGAGAGGGGATGTTATCAACACTCATATCTAAAGGGCAAGCGTTGAGAGGATGGGTCCGGCCTCTTTTTGGTGATATCCAGTGAAAGGAAAGGGGTAACAGCCACCAACTGAAATATAGGAAATTCCATATGAAAGTGAGAAATACCTTATTTACTTTGAGAATGACAGAGTACTGGAACAAGCTGCCCAGGGAAGCTGTGGATTTTCTTTCTGCGCAAATATTCAAAACCCATCTGGATGCTTTCCTCTGTAACCTACTGTAGGGAACCTGCAGGGGGGTTGGACAAGATGATCTCCAAAGGTCCCTTCCAACTCTTACGATTCTGTGACTCTGTGATTCGCATCTTCATTTAGGAAATGTATCAGACATTGAGTGTAGCTGAAGACTCACAGAAAAGTGTTCCTAGATGATACCATCTCTAGTATGCAAGAACTGTGCTTTCAGATGCCTGTCACTACGTGAAATTCATTCATAACTAATCCTTTGCAAGAGTGTTTAACAGAATTGTAAAGAAAATACAAATCGTTTATTCTTACTAGCAGTGTAGCAGTTTCAAGAATTACAGTACAGTCTAATGTCTGAGTCAGACATTACTGTTACTGTTACAACTGATTTGTTACAATTTTGACACGGAACATTTTATTCCAGAGTTTCTGGAACTTAACACTGATATATTCCAGCATGACTTAGCATCTTTTGAGCAGCCCTGTGAAGAAGGACTTGTGGGTCCTGGTGAACAAGAAGCTGGACATGAGCCAGCAGTGTGCAATTGCAGCTGGGAAGGCCAAGTATATCCTGGGCTGCATGAAAAAAGGGGTGGCCAGCAGGGAGAGGGAGGTGATTGTCCTCTACTCAGCTCTTGTGAGGCTCCACCTGCAGTACTGCGTCCAGGCCTGGGGCCCCCAGCACAAGAAAGACACAGAGCTCTTGGAACGAGTCCAGAGGAGGACCACTGAGATGATCAGAAGGCTGGAGCACCTCTGCTATGAAGAAGAGTTGAGGGAACTTGGTTTGTTTAGCTTAGAGAAGAGAAGACTTCATTGTGGCCTTTCAGTACTTGAAGGGAGCTCATAAACAGGAGGGGGAATGACAGTTTACATGGGTTGATAGTGATAGGACACGGGGGAATGGTTTTAAACGAAAACAGAGGAGATTTGGTTAGATATTAGGAGGAAATTTTTGACTCAGAGGGTGGTGAAGCACTGGAATGGGTTGCCCAAGGAGGTTGTGGATGCCCCATAGCTGAAGGCATTCAAGGCCAGGCTGGATGTGGCTCTGGGCAGCCTGGTCTGATGGTTGGCAACCCTGCCTGTGGCAGGGGGTTGAAACTAGGTGATCTTTGAGGTCCTTTTCAACCCATGCCATTCTATGATTCTATGGTATGATTCTGTGATGGAAAATGTAGTTGTAAAGCATAGTGGTAGAAAAAACATTGTCCCATTCACTGTGTTAACCTGGATAGAAAATAAATATGCCCTGCTGCACAGGTTACTTCTCAAATAATTTTAACAATTAGACAAACCACAGAATCAAACAGAATTTTTGGTTTATGGTTTCTTTATTATTTGCTTACATACTTAATTTGCAGCTTCAAATCCAGACCCTTCTGTCTTTACAACCCTGTCTTTACGTAATCTCTTCCATTTGTTTTCACAACATTTTCCCCTTTGTGCCACAGCAAAGTGTACATGCAGGTGCTGGCATGTTTAGACATAGCTCCTCTGAGTGTCATTATCCGACAAAGACTCATCCATCATAATCTAAAGACAAAGAGCAGGAGGAGTCAGCAGAACTGGAGGTGTTAGTTGGAGATGGCAAAAAGTTGTTGTTTCTTTTGTTAGGATTCAAACATGGGTGTTTAGTACAGTCTTATGTTGGTAGGACTGCAGCAAATTGAAATATTAAATAGAGTCATCTGCATACAGGCAAAAAAGAGTCTCTTTCTGAAAATGTCATCTTCTGCTAGAAGCAAGGCAAACATTAAGTCAGTGTTCAGCATTTCATTTCAAGGGGGGCCAGCATAATGTTCCCATTTGACATAAGGAAGAACTGAATCAAAAATACTCGTACTAGAAGAGCTGCAGATAAGCAACCTGAGTCATAATCAGATACTATTCATGGATGATCTGAGATCATCTGGTAGTGTAGATAATTTTCAGGTAAACATAGACTTGGGACTGTTTAAGGCACAAAGAGATCTGGAAAACTAATGGTAAGTCATATCATGCATGCCATCCACTCAGACTCACATTCATTCAGTAAAACATTAAACCAGTATACCAGGACAGAAAATTTAAAATAAGCCAAGAAAAAGGGTGAGAAAAGTTTTGACACTTCTCTTTCTCCCACTCCCCAGGACCCAGAGCAAAATCAGATCTTCCAGTGGTTGGATGTATCATCTATGCATGGCATTATCCAGCTTTCATTCCCATTAATCGAGGAGCCAATTCTGGGGTCCTATCATATCATTGTGGAGAAGAAGTCAGGGGATAAGGAGCATGAATACTTCACAGTGGAGGAATATGGTAAGCAAGCACTGTGAACTTCCGCAAAGGCTGGCTCTGTCTAAGTCTGATACGAGCTGTGAGTGCAGAGCTTAAGTGCTTTGAAATCTCCAATTCTTTTTAATTTTTTTTTACTGTCTTCCTCTTATGCACCTGTCCATGGTATACTACTGCTGATCAGTCATATTCACCTTGTATTCTCAGTTCTGCCAAAGTTTGAAGTGACAACTAGCATGCCCAGGAGGATCTCTTTCTTTGATGAAGAAATCAGGATGAATGTTTGTGCCTTGTAAGTATAAGAGCTGAGAATAACATGTGTAAACAAGAAACACAGGAAAGAGGATAGTGTGAAATGCTGTGAAATAGGGAGCCACTACTGATTAGTGTATAGACTAGAGCAATTTATTTAGCTATGACTTCCATAACATGAAAAATAATGATAACTCTGCTTCGTAGCAGAATTAGAATTTTGTGAGTTTGTGTGTCTTAACAGTCTGAAGGTATTAAGTGGTATAAACTTGCTAGCTGTTGATTTTATTATTACAGAGAAGGAGAGAAATAGTAGACGACTATCATTAAGATTTCTCTGTGTGACACTGCCAAGGGGCAGGGTAGCATAAGCCTGAGAAACAAGGACTGCCATACATCTTGCTTCATGTAAGGCAATAATAAGAAAAAAAAAAAATCAAGCAGAAGGAAATGATATCCCAAACACAAGCCCAACATCCCTTTCCAGCTTCAGACCTTAAAGAATGACTCAACCAAGACAATGATAAGGTAGGTTTTTTAAAGTCAAAGTCTGCCTAAAAATAATTGAGAATTCAGGTAGGACTAACATGTTCTAATTCCCAGCTACTTTTCTGTTTGTACTCTTGGATCCTAAGGGGTTTAGAGTCTGCACCGCTTTGCAGTCTTTCCTGGTTTCATGCTAAGTTCCCTTTTACAGTTGGTAATTGTTGGATTCTTATGTCTCATCCTCTACTAGGTACACTTACGGCCAACCAGTGCAGGGGATTGCCCGAATCAATGTGTGTCAGCAACACTTTCATAATCCACGATGTCAGCAAAGCCAGAAACCAACCTGTGAAGCTGTCACTGGATTGGTATGATACAGGGCTATGCCCTTCTTCCCAGTGAACTTTACCACTCAACACATAGCGCAAAGTTTGGAGACCACATTTGTTTCCTGGAGAAGATGAGACAGATAATCCCAGAGGCATATTTTTCTCACTGTTTCACAGACAATTCTGAAAGAACATGAATGTAGTTTTTACCAGTGACCTCATTAGAAGAATGGCTTTTGCCCCTTCTCCTCAAGAAAGCAGGAGAAGAGAAATTATTTTTCATAAGAAATCTGAGTTCTATCTCAGAAGAGTCAGTAGGAGAGAGGAGAGCTTATAAAACTATGAATACGTGATCATTCCTGAAACACTGGATGTGTGTACTTACCAAGGATAATCAGCTGGCCTCTATTGGGAGTCTTTGAGAACAGTGTTAAATTGATATTTGATTTCTCATCTAGATCAGATTCAAAGTACTTTAAAGAACTAAGCTCCTATCAGAGAGCTCATTCATCATGCAAAATGTGCTTAAGAAGGGATGTGAGTACAGAGGGAAGGGAGGAGAAAGGATTTCATGTATGTGGGTGTATGAGTTTCCAACAATGAACTGGGAGAGGAGCCAAAGAGTAAGATGTTTAATAGAAGAGGAGAGCAAGTAGGTGATAAAAACTAAAGGAAATGCAAGCAGAGGCATGAAGCTCTTCAGAGACCCACTAATACAAGCTTAGGAGCTTGTATTTGTTTTTCCAAATCTTGAGAAAAATAAGTATTCCTCTTTTTGCTCCTTTTTCAGCTGGAAAACAATGGTTGTCTCAGCACTGTTGTCTCCACCAAAACTTTTCAGTTGTACCGCAGCTATACCAGGATGTATGCCAGCTTAAACATAGAAACCATCATCACTGAAAATGGGACAGGTAATACTAAGTGAAAACTGGGAAGTAGCTAAACTGGAAGTACCCTAAATCTCACAGGTGATACTTATTTGGAGGAATCTCCTGGATTCTGATCTTTTCATCAAATAATGAACAACTACCATTTTATCTGTGTAGCTCTCTGTACAGAAAATCACATCTCCATACAGCTTTTCAAAAGAGACTGTTCTCTGCACATTTTTGATTTCTGCTTCCTTCCCTTTCTTCTGGGTGTGTCTCACAGGTGTCCAGATGAAAAACTACGACTATGTAGCAGTCAGCCAAGAAAATGACAGAGTGATGTTCAGGAACATGGATCAGTACTACAGGAGGGGAATTCCTTACTTTGGTGAGGTGAGTAGCTGAGAATATAGAGTAGAGCAGAACTTGAGGTCCAGCAGGATCTCTATATTGCCCTGTTTGTAGCCTTCCCTTACCCTGCACTAACAGCTTTCATCAATGTCACATAAACATGACTGCTTCATACGTCTGTCATTGTGTTAGAAGCTTCTAGAGAAAATCAGAAAATGATACCCTAATTCCTACTGTATAAGGGAGTCTTTTTAGCAGTGATTAGAGAATGACTGAGAAATTAGTAAGTGAAAGGCCACAGTGGTGAGACAGGTGTGCAAAAAACTATGCTCACAACAGCAGTGCCTAAGCTGAAGGTAGAATTTACCCTACATGGTATCACGTCGTCCTGTGGCTGTGTACTTAAAACAGTGTAACTGCTGGAACACATCCAAATTCTTCCCAACCTGTACACCCAATATAAACCCTGGCACAGAAGGAAAAATGAAATTTACAGCATTCTCCTGATTCAGAGTGCAGAAGGAAGGTAGTGTCTGGATCTCAAAAGACAGGAGGTGTTACCGAGCCCTGTGTTACACATTTGCCTCTTAAATATCCATGCATTTCACTCTTGAGTTCTACTCTCTCTGCAGATGTCCGTAGTGGTTAAGTTACTGTTCTCTGGTGAGCAGAACATTTATCATCCTTTTCATTTTGGGTGTTTTTTTTTTTTTGTTTGTTCGTTTTTTAACCTGAAACTCCTGTGTATTCTTTGTGTTTAGATCACTGTGACAAATGCAGATGGCAAGCCTGTTGCCAATAGGGTTGTTGTGCTAGAGGTCAATGGAGAATACCAGGCCAACTATACCACTGATGAGAATGGCACGGCAGCCTTTTCCCTTGACACATCCAACTTCTTTAATCCCAGTGTTAAACTGAGAGTAAGTATAAGCTCTAGTCTAATTCCTGAAAAATTTCTTCAGCAGAAAGAAGAATCAGAAGCAAGCAGTGGATGCTGACAGGTTTATTTTGGATGAGAAAAACAGGCAATTAGCTCAGCAACACATACAACCTCTGTGAAACTATTACGAGAAAACTCTAATGCCTGAGAAGCAGATGTACCTCAAGTGTGATCTTCAGCACCACTCTATTTTTTTTTCTCAGCTCTGTAGCCTTTTCTGCAGTCATCTTCCTTCTTTTCATTTCATGAACTAGAGGACCTTTCTCAAAGCCTGCTTGCTTTCCTGACCCAGCCTGGGTGCATGCCAGCCTGCTTCCCTACATTTCTGCTGACACTCATGTCCATTATCATGACATGGTCTTCCCCAAGTTATCATGTGTTTTCTCTGGTGCTATGGGAATAGATGAGAAAAAGCAGGCTGTTTGAGAACAAGGCAGTTCCAAATCACATTAAGTTTTAACAACCTGTCTCAAACTAATAAGAATCTAAAATAACCTCCCTAATATACTGTGACATAGATCATAGAATCATCAAAACACCAAGGTGGCAAAAGACATCCAAGATCATCCAGTCCGACCATCCACTACCACCACTATTTCCTCGTTAAACCATGTCTCTTAATACAACATCTAAGCATTCCTTGAACTCCAGAGACAGTGACTCCACCACCTGTCTGGCAGCCTGTCCCAGTGCCTGACCACTCTTTTGGAGAAGCTTTTCCTAATGTCCATCCTGAATCTCCCCTGGTAAAACTTTGAGGCCATTCCCTCTAGTCCTACTGTTAGTTACCTGAGGGAAGAGGCTGACCCCCACCTCACCACAACCTCCTTTCAGATAGTTGTAGAGAGTTCTCCAGACTAAACAATCTCAGCTCCCTCAGCCACTCCCCAGAAGGCTTGTGCTTCAGACCCCATGCCAGCTTCATTGCCCTTTTCTGGACATGCTCCAGACCCTCAGTGTCTTTCTTATAGTGAGGGGCCGAAAACTGAACACAGTACTCAAGCTGTGTCCTCTCCAGTGCTGAGTGTAGAGGGATGATCACTTCCTTACTCCTGCTGGCAACACTATTTCTGATACCAGTCAGGATGTCATTGGCTCTCTTGGCCACCTGGGCACGCTAATGACTCATGTTCAGCTGAGTGTTCACCAACATCCCCAGGTCTGTTTCCTCTACACAGTTTTCCAGCCACTCTATCCCAAGCTTGTAGTGTTGCTTGGAGTTATTACGGCCAAAGTGCAAAAGCTGGCACTCCATCTTATTGAAGTTCTTCTCATTTGCCTCAGCCAAGTGGTCCAGCTTATCCAGATCCCCCTGTAGGACCTTGCTACTCCCAGGCAGATGGACACTTTCACCCAGCTCGGTGTCATCTGAACGTGAATATATTGTGTCCTGCAATCCCCACACTGTGGACAACTGAAATACAAGTTTTTCACACCAGCCTCAAAAAATCTGTTTTCCAACAAAGTATTTTAGAGGGAAGATGCTTTTGCCTCTCACTTACCTGCTGATCTTTTAATTTCCACTTTGTTGATTCCTTGTATATGCTTCTCCTGTATCATAGGCCACACAAGCACCAGATGACTGTGCAGATTTCTTTATGTGGAGAAATGATCATGAGTCCCAAGCCTTATTCTTTGTCCATCGTTTCTACTCACGGACCAACAGCTTTGTGAGAATTGAGCCAGTGAAGGAGAAACTAAGCTGTGGCCAGCAGAGAATGATTAATATTCAGTATGTCCTGAGTAGAAAGGGCTACAAAAATGCCACCCACACAGACTTCTACTATGTGGTACGTATTATTACGTCAGTTTCCAAAACATATATTTTCTTCCACCTTTTCTTGAACGCTAAATAAGGCAGAAGTGTTCAGATCAGCCAGTGGCTACAAATCACAGCTTGATTCAAGCCCGTCAGAATACCACTCAATACCAGTGATTTTGTGGGAGAAGGTGCTTTTGATTCTATCTTGTGATTTTTTCTATTCCTAGGTGATGGCAAAGGGAAAAATTGTTCTCAGCGGACAAAAGCAAGTGAGAATCACTCATGGTAAGTTCTGGACTGTATCAATACTGTTACTTCAGAGCATCATTCCTATCACCAGAACAGTAGTAGCTCATATAAGATGAGACAAAAGCAGGGAACTGTTGCTAAATAGGTATTAATTCTTAAACATCTTTCACCACTCACATTATTATTCGCTTTTAATGCCGCTCCTAACAATAATCAAAATGGTCTTTTGAGTCGAGAGGTGAAAACCTTGTTGCGACTGAACAGGAGGAATGTAATCATTTTTTGTATTATTTTTTATTTATTTCAAAGAGTATTTAAGGTTTCAGATGTTCTGTGGCATCCAAGTCTTCACCAATCAGAAGACCAAAAATTTCAAAATAATAAGTGCCTCATTTGACAGAACAATTAGATGCTTGGAATTCATCAAAGCTTCAGAAGATTCCAAATACCATGAATGATTCAGCAAGCTGAATTCCATTTTTTCATTAAAAAAATGTACTTTCTTGCAGAACCAGGTGTTCAGTAAGAGACTTAAGTAAGTCTCACTCCTACTTACTCCTGTGACTTATTTAGTATTGGCCATTTTCGGTCTTTCTCCAGGTATCTGTGCACTATGGCTGCACAGCATGTGCTTGCGTATGGTTTACGGAGGGGCATCTATTCATCAAAAGGCAGCCTTGTCATAAAATTCTCCCTTCATTAAAATATCGTGAGGCTATGTGGTCTCTCCATATATGTGACTAACCAAAAGCAAGATGCGTGTTAGAATGTGACTTTACAAGAAAAGATAAAGCTTAGTTTCCTGTCTCTGCTCTAGTAGTTGCCATCTGTATTAACAGGAACTTCATAATTCCTGGTGTTAAGAGAACACTGTCTTAGCTTAGGTAATTGGTTTATTTAATCTGGTGTAGAAGGAACAAGGTTTGAGCTACAAAGGCAAAGCATTGCTCTTCCTGTAGCAATCACATACAGATTTTCCTATCCAAATTCTGCTCAGCTTAGCTCCCTCTCTGCAAAACACCCTGCTCTCAGCATTGTCTAGTTGGCATCTGGTACGTTGTTGATGGGAGTTTTTCCTGAGCCACTCAGAAATGAATCTCCCAGTAGCCAGCATCCCTTTTTTAATGGTGCGGATAGGTTATGAACAAATATGTTGTCCTTCCACCAACGCCAAGGCTTATCTAATCTCTTTTGTTGGCTTTTCCTCTCCTGTTCCATGTACCTTCCACAGCTCCCTGGGGTACTTTTGCCATTACACTGACTGTCACTGAGAAGCTCGCCCCCAGTGCCAGATTGTTGCTCTATACGGTCCATCCTAATGGAGAGATAGTGGCTGACAGCTCTTGGATACACAGTGATATATGCTTCAAAAACAAGGTGAAAATTTGTTTTCTTATCAAGGGCTATATTTGCTAGAATCATAGAATTGTAGAATCTCTCAGGTTGGAAAAGACCTTAAAGATCATCAAGTCCAACCACGACCTAACCATACTACCCTAACTCTAATGATCCTCCGCTAAATCGTGTCCCTGAGCACCACATCCAAATGGTTTTTAAACACATTTAGGGATGGTGACTCAATCATCTCCCTGGGCAGCCTATTCCAGTGCTTAACAACCCTTTCTGTAAGTAAGTTTTTCCTGATATCCAACCTAAACTTACCCTCAAGCAACTTCAGACCATTTCCCCTTGTTCTGTCATCAGTGAGAAGAGATCAACCCCGCTCTTACTGTAAGCACCTTTCAGACATTGGAAGAGAGCAGTAAGGTCTCCCCTCAGCCTCTCTTTCCCCAGACTAAGCAGCCCCAGTTCCTCCAGTTTTTCCTCGTAGGGCATATTCTCCAAGCCCTTCACAAACGTTGTTGCCCTTCTTTGGACCTGCTCCAGCGCCTCAATGTCCTTGCTAGTTTTCTTTTTTTCTTTTTTTCTTTTTTTTTTTTCTGAGTGAAAAGGCAGGAAATTACTTCATCACAAAAACTGCACTCAGGTTGGTGTTTAGGAATGAAAACGATACAGGCATGCCTGATAACACAAGAATCTATCCCTGGCATTCACACATATACTCAAACTCATGCTAAGCTGTCAGGAAATGATTTGGGGATTATGTGGCTATGAATTTTTGCAGAACAGAGATTCAGAAGGACTGTTAAGCAAAAGGAACTTTGCCCAACAGAGAATGGCATTAATGTCAGTGAAAGGTGAGATTTAGATATACTTGCCAAGCTAATTCTCCTAATTTCTATTTTATTGTTTTCAATTTACTCATTTCCAGCTCCAGTTTGAGTTCTCCGAGAAGCAGGCTCTCCCAGGCTCTAAAATCAACATCCGCCTTGAAGCTGCTGCCAACTCCTATTGTGCCTTGCGAGCTGTAGATCAGAGTGTCTTCCTTCTTCAGCCTGAGCGAGAGCTATCTGCTGAGAGCGTAAGCCACATGCCCAGCCCTGTGTTCTAGGGACATCCAGAATGACAATTCCTATGCCCACCTAATATCTCTTCTGCTGGCTACGTATTTTTTTTTTTCTATGTAAACAGACATTTCCATGATTGAAAAAAAGAAATAGTAGCTGTATACTTCAAAGATGATGGTGAAATATTTACTTTTAGAAAGCATAGCAGTGTTAAACAGAATATGACTAATGTAAAACTTTGGCAGTACCTGAGAGTGGCTCAAACAGGCCTTAGATGCAGAAAAAAAGCTGCGAATATCAGCTAGCAACTTGTCAGACTCAAATCTTCTCTCTGCAAAACTCAGCAGTATCTCTTCATGCTCTTTGTTCAAGTTTACCCTACAAAAACCATCACAACTCAGAAAAAGAGGGATAGAGTCTAGACCTTCTTGCATAACATCAGCCAAATTGCTTATTCATCTGTGTAGGCATTGCTAGCTAAACCCATGATACTACATGGGACTGTTCACATGCCACCGTAACTACTGAATACAAATGAGAAAGGAGCATGGGAAGAAACAAATCCTTGTGATTAAAATCATATATGTACATACACTATGCATATGTAGTGCTTCTGAAAAAAAAAAAATAAATAAGCTGATATCCTCCTCATTTCATGCTTTAAGAGAGGCAGTTTTGTCTTGAAGCAGGAGAGTGGATATGTGCTGCACAATGAGGATGACAGAAGGAGCTGCACAGCAAACACACCGGTTTTCAGTGAACTTTCTCCTTTTTCACTCTACAGCCATGAAAGATTTTCATGGTGTGACAGAATTTGGCACCAACCTGGGACCTTTCCTTGTTTTTACATCAGTTGTTCTCACCTCCCAGGTGTACTACCGGCTTCATTTGAGTGATTTGTATGGCTATTATTACAATGGACTCAACCTGCAAGACGACCAGCCAGAGGAATGTACCCCAGTCAAAACCACTTTTTTTGAAGGCTTGTACTATGAACCTGTCAATGTCAGCCATGATGGTGATGTCTACAGGATTTTCATGGTATGTGTTCTGGTTTTTTTTTTGGTTTGTTTTTTTTTTTTTCCCCCTCAAATGTTCCAGAATTCAGTCACACTAGCATTCACCTTACTAAGGTGGTTTTGATCCCTCGACTGCCTTCACTCTTGAGTCATCCAATTTCTACCATCTGATATCCACCTCTTACTCAGGAAGAGTGAGAATCACTACTTGATATGTTCATTGGAATCCAGTCCATACTTCAGTAGATGATTCTTAAACAGGACCATTAACTTTGTTCACAACCTCAGGCATTCCTAGTAAAGCTCTGAGTATATTATGCACACTTTTCTGATACACTTTTCTCCACTCTCACTCATCCTATGAGTTTGTAACTTACTCTGCCCAGTTGCAAAAGACCTGACATGAGCACCACCAGTACTACTTGTGACAAAACAACAGTTGTCACTACCTGCAATACATGCAATACAGCATGTGCCTGTAGCAGAAGAATAACGTGACATTCAGAGTTGAAAGGCTGGAATGTGAGAAGTGAGGAGAGAAATGAATGATGTTAACTCAGATAGGAGATGTGGCATGTATTTGTAGCTACTGCATGCACCAAGTGACATGATCAATTCTTTTACATACAGGAGATGGGCCTGAAGGTCTTCACCAACTCCATGCTACGGAAGCCAGTTCTGTGCAATGAAGACAAGTTGGATCAGGAAGATAATCCTATCTATTTGGATCATAGTGCCAGTGGTGGCAGTGCCTTTGGCAAAGGTAAAAGAATCAGAAAATCGTAGAATGCCTTGGGTTGGAAGGGACCTCAGGGATCATCAAGTTTCCCACAGACAGGCAGGGCCACCAACCCTCCAGCCCTCTGATCATCTTTGTGGCCCTCGTCTGGACCTTCTTCAATAGCTCCACATCTTTCCAGCAGTGGGGGTTCCAGACCTGGACACAGTACTCCAGATGGGCCTCATGAGGGCAGAGTAGGCAATCACCTCCCTGTCCCTGCTGGCCACCCCTCTTCTGATGGAGCCCAGGATACTATTGGCCTTCCAAGCTGCAAGAGCATGTTGCTGGCACAACATTCAGTTATTCATTCACCAGGACCCCCAGGTCCTTACCCACAGAGCTACTTTCAAGGAGTCCTCCTAGCTTGTATAGGTATCTGTGATTACTTTGACCAAAGTGCAAAATCTTGCATTTACTACGTTGAACTTAACAAGGCTCATGTGGGCCCAACTTTTGAGTTTGTTGAGGTCCTTCTTGATGTCATCTCTCCCTTCTAGTGTGTCAATCACATCACTCAGCTTGGTGTCATCAGCAAACTTGCTGAGGGTGCACTCAAGCCCATCATTGATGCCATTGATGAAGATGTTGAAGAGCACTTGTCCCAGAACAGAAGATTCATGCTGTGTCTCCATTTCCAGTATGCCTGGTCTTCAAAACTTGTGCATATAGAAAATAATGGACAGCATGTTAAGGCTTTAGGGAACAGATCTCTGTCTCACATTTTGTCTCTAGTAATCTTTTGCTGACAGTACTCACAGAATTACAATCAGTTCTCTCCCTCTTAGGTATAGAAGGATGCATGTGGAAAAGAGAATTACTTTCCTAAACTGATATTAGTTTTTTGGTGTTTCCCCCATAAGAACCTTTGCACAACTCACAATTCAATCATACATTTTAAGTGAAATACTAATGTGGAAATATTATGCAAATTAATTATATTAAGAAATCACACAGCACCTAACATACTTCACACATAATCTTGAAAGCACTTTATAAATCAGCAAGATTTAAGAAAACAATCCTCCAAGTTAGATTTTAATCAACAAAATAACTAGAGTTCGCAGATATTTGTATGGTCATTTCTATGATACAGCAAACAAGCCTGAGGAAATCTGTGGCATGCTGAATTGATTGTTTGACACCACAACTGAGGCCATGAAATCATAGAACTAAGTCCTAGGTTCCTGGTCTTGGTCTGTGTAATGAATACACAGGTGTTATAATTAAGAAATATACAAGAGAGCCTAGCTAAGCAGGTTGTTATACCAAAACGAAACGAATAGGTAAAGGGCCTACCCTTCTCCTGGGCTCACTGGAAAACTCCCAAAGGAGATCCTTCCCCACAGGTAGCCTGCTCTTAAATGGGGTCTAGGAGAGATGGAGACAGGCTCCACCCCTTCTGGCAGCACAGGTGAATTGCCTTCACCTACGCTTCTAGGGCTGACTCATTGCTTACCTCAGGTGATCAATCAGAGGTTCAGGCCATGATTCAGAAGTTTCCATACAGTCCTGTTGTTTGGCTTTCCAACGGAATGAAAATTCAGTTCCAGTTTATTTGTCTGGACAGGGTAAAATTATTGAGTTATAAGGGAGAATTTTTAAAGCAATATATACTCTGTTAGCCCATTTGCAAATTGAAGAGATGTAGTGATAGAGGAGAAACTAAAATCCCTTACTAATTAGGTGATGTGCCTTTCACTGGAGGAAAAGCTGAATTGTATTGTGAAATGCCTAGATTCTCAAATATTTTCCTATAGGAAGAGAGAACAGATAGAACAAAGAAAAAAAATGTACTCATAATCTTCCCTAGAACTTTCAAAGATTACTGCTGCTGGTGCTGTTCACACTGTTAGGAAATACTTTCCTGAGACCTGGATTTGGGATCTGGTTCACACAAAGTGAGTATTTTCACCTTAACTTCTTATCTCTTATGTGGATATTTGAGTTGTTGCTGAGATGAATGCTGGAAGATAGAACATTAATCCAAATATATTGGTTCTAATCTGCATGCTTGGACATTGTGGCATTTAAACAAATGTTATTTCTAAATTTAAAAAGCCAAGACTTTTTCCAAGTGCTTTTTAACACATAATTCATCAACACCTTCATCTTTACCTCCAATTTCATAATTTCTTTTAAATATGGAGGAGAATCCTAAAGAAACTGAGATGAGAAGTCTGAAGTATTAACTCTGTTATGGGCCTATTCTATAATTTGCTCTGACAATTCCAAATATCATTTCTCATTCAGATTTTCTTGTTTTCCTCAGTTCTACTGGAGAAGCTAATATCTGCTACACCATCCCTGATACTATCACAGAATGGAAAGCCAGTGCTTTCTGTTTGCAGGATGATGCTGGGTTTGGCATCTCCTCACCTGTTTCACTGACAGCATTTCAGCCATTCTTTGTGGATCTTGCCTTGCCATACTCCGTCATTCGAGGGGAAAGAATTAATTTAATAGCCAACATCTTCAACTACCTTGACAAGTGCATCCAGGTACATCAAATTCCCTTTCAATTTCTATCCGGTTTGCCTCTTCCCCAGAGTTCCCAGCATTGTTTTTCTGTCCTGCATATTGCATTAAAAATGCAGAAACAAGTACTCTGCTGACACAGTACTCTCTCAGCCTCTCTGACAGGATCCATTGCTGCATCATTAGGATAGTGTGGCCAATGATCACTATGACTGGTACAAAGAAGATAAGAACCTGCTTCTTATCCCTACATAGTTCAGTTATTTTTGCTCCTGAGAGAGAAATTTGAACAGAGTATGTGGGTATTTTGCTCTCCCAAATAATATGTACCGAGTATGTAGCATATAGCAGAAAATCATAAGAAAATGTGACTGATAAAATGAGCACAGACGTCTTGGCATGCTTCTGTATGCAGCCAGTAACAGCAGGTACAAATTAGATAGGTTTGCTATTTCCTCAAACAAGCGTCCCTTTCTTATTTCCAGGTACTATCTTACAGAGTCAGATGACATGGTTTCACCAGCAAGTGACATTTTCCTGTGCCCTGAAGCGTAAATTCAGGGGCAGCCTACTTCGTTTGTAATTTTTCTCTTTCTCTCTGCATCTCAGATCAGTGCCATACTGGCAGAGTCAAGTGACTACAAGGTGGAAGTCCTTTCACCAGAAGTAAACACAGCAAGGGTGTGTGCCAATGAAAGAAAAACTTATATTTGGGCTGCTAGGCTCCTCAGTCTTGGTAATTCTGTCTTTTGGTCACCCTAATTCATCTCAATTTTATCTTTCAACTTTTGTCATTTCACTTGTTAATGAAGGATCAATAACCCACAGGCAGGCATTTCTGGACAACTCCACTACATAAATCTAGTATTGGACTTTCGCTAAAGCTCCCCTATGCATGGATATATGCACTGAATAAGTAGCTATTTGTTCTGGTGTTTTATCTCTTCTAATTTCAGTAGTTTATTTCTTGTCTATTTTAGGAAGAATTGTTCACTTGCCTTGTCATGCTTGGAATACTGTCAGGACTTCATGAGGCTATAATAATTCAGTTGACAGTCTTATTATCAAATCAATTCTATTCAGTAAGAATGAATGAGTGAAGAGGACATTGCTCCTCCTTAGTTTAACCCAGTTGTGTTAATTTACACTATCTTTGAGTCAGCATTGTCTTCAAAAGAAGCATTTACAGCAGCTTGCATGTGCTAGTACATTAAAAATTGAAGTATAAAAAAACTTTAGCAAAAATTCTTCTGAACATGAACAACAGATAAACCTTTTCTTTAAAATGTTTCTAAATCAGTGTGACTGATTTCCTTCAAACTCAGTGGAAAATTTATAGTAAGACAAGAAGTGGATAAGCAGTGAAATAGTGCTACAAAGCTGAAAAAAATAAAGATGTGGTCTCTCTAGCATTTTGTCCCAAGAGGAAAACTCCTTTGGATCTCCTATTTGCAACAACTTCAGGGGTAAAAGGAGCAGTGCCTGTCAAGCTGCTCACTCTAGAGTTGTTCTGGTGTGTTGCAGCAGCACTGAGGCTGCTCTTAAGCATTGCCTTCAGTTAATGAATTCTGTCTGAAGGAAAGAGGCAGCGGCGCATGCTGTATTGCATCTATTGCAAGTATTGCAACACTGCCCCTAGGCCAGAGAGAGATAACAAAAGGTTAAGAAGAGGTAGAAACTGTTAGTGAGTACTGTCAGTTGTCAGTATTTCATTCCTTGTACTGGACCCTGTCATAGTTTCAGCTGGAAAGGAATTGTTTTCTTCGTAGTGTCTGGTATCATGCTATGTTTTGGTTCTAGGAGAAAAAACAATGTGATAACACACCAATGTTTATAGTTGCCTGTTAAGCAGTGAAAGTGATGGGAATTCATCTCTTTCTCCCACTGCTCAGGGGACTAGCTGGGCATCCGCTAGATATTGGTGAGAAACTGCTTGTACACCATTTGTTATATACGTACATATACGTGTGTATATATTCGTATATAACATGTTATATATAGGGTATAGAATATATTGTATAGTGTGTGTATATATATATAGTCATAACTATTTTCCTTCTAATTTTCTCTATCTTAGTAAATAGTTTTATCTCAACCCTTGAGTTCTGCTTTGTTCTTTTGATTCTCTCCCCCATCCCACTGGGAAGGGGAGGAGTGAGCTAATGACTGTATGGTGCTGAGCCTCTAGGCAACTGTTCCTTGCCATCCTTGGAGAGATGTGGAGCTTTAACTAAATTTGTTTCTACTAAGCTGCCTTTAGAGAGATACATTTGTCAACAGACCACAAGACTAGAAGGAGGCAATGAAAGCCAGAGGTAACTATAGACGCAGAAAATAACTTTCTTTTCTTGAACTGGTGGTTGGCTCTCCAGGCGAGGTGAAATTCACAATTACTGCTGAAGCCAAACTGAATACTAAAGCTGCCAAAAATAGCACACCAGCAGAAGAGGAGACAATTCGCACGGACACCCTGACTCAAATGCTACTAGTTGAGGTACAATACAAGATTTTCATGTACTCCCTGTTTTTTTGGAAATTCAGTTCTCTTACCTATGATCTGGGAGATATTAGCTGATGTTAAGAGACAAGAAAGCTGACACAGATGGAGATGTGTACAATACATTTCTCCATATAAAGCTGAGAGTGGAATTCAGAACAATTTGGCATCCACTGTTCTTTCTAGAACAAAGAGCGTAAATGCCCTGAACTCTCTGGATGTCAGCAGAGCTGTATTTAGAGGGGAAGAGATTCCATTCCTTATCTACATGTGCATTTTGCCTGTGATTGTAATAGGAGGACTGTAATTGTAGGAGGGCAGATATGAAAGGAATGAGATTTGTCTTGAGCGTCCTAGAGTAGAAGAGACACAATTCTCCCCAAGTCCTCCTCAGAGGCTGGAAATGCCTATTTTATATATGTTTTCTAAGAAAGATAGTGCTCTGCACAGGCTGTGGTGTAATAATGAGAGTAGGACATGGACGAAGAGATATTCTAATGGAGATAAGGCAGAACTGGGTACAGGGGGATGCACCCTCTGGATAGCTACATCTATGTAATACCTTACACTATTTAATTGTTTCTGGTTTCATGGTGATGTTTTTTTTTTAATTCTCCCTGACCTGTCTGCAATCAAACAGCCTGAAGGTGTTAAAAAAGAATTGACTCAGAGCTCCCTCATCTGTACAAAAGGTAAGGCAAGTTTATTCATTGAATCCAGGAAATCAGTAGAAAGAATTCACTGCTTTGTTGGTTTTGTCCTATGAAATCAGAGACCCTTCCAGAAGAGGAAGAATGGTCTCAGGGTTGAGGAGATGAGATGGGCTACAGCTCAGGATTTTCAAAAATACCTCAGACTCATTGGGCATGGACTCTTCAGCAGTTTCATTATCAAAACAGCAAATAGTAATTCTAACTGTAGTCATGCTTAGAAAGTAAAAACTTCCAGAAAAATGATATTTTCAACAATTACTGTTATGTTTTCTTGTTAGGCACAACAGTTTCTGAGCCAGTGCTTCTCAACCTGCCAACAAATGTAGTGCAGGGATCAGCCAGAGTTTATTTTTCTGTCATTGGTAAGTGTAACACCTAGACAACAATTGAAAGTGAAGTATTTTTTTCCTCCTGTGTGGCTTCCAGTGCTATCATGTATACCTATGCAAAACTAAAATAAATTTGAGGAGAATCGTCATCTTGATTTTAAACAAATATTTCCTACTTTCTGAAATGAACAACCATCTTTCTTTGCCAAAATTCCCTCCTATTGTATCAAAAAAGGATAGAACAAAACAGTAAAATTATTTCCATTTATATTTCATTTCAGATAATATTGCATTAGCTATCCTGTTCTGTGCAGTAAAACTGAAAAGTAAGCAAAAGCAGACTTCTTGAAAAAAAATTCACATTGTTTTGATTTCTTAGATAGAAGACTTCAAAAATATGCTGACTGCATAATTCAAATTACGCTTTTGCATAGTGAAAAACATTTGTCTGTTCACAAATATCTGTAGAATGAGACTTTCATATCCCAATCTGACCTACTAATCTTAAACTCATTAAGAATAAAAGTTCTCCTTAATGAAAAGTTTATGAGTTTCTGAATGCAGACTGCTTTCTAAAAACAGTTGTTTTCCGTGCCGGAGACAGTGTGGAATGTACTGGTGCTGTGGAACACAGCATATGTAGCCCATCAGCAACATATGATCAACTGTCATTTTCACATATGCACACCAAAAAGGAAGCACGCTGAAAAGGCTAGGGAATACTAACTCAGAAGGGTTGATAGCTGATTCTCAGAAATCATTCCAGTCAGTATCAGTACTTGGTTCCTTCTTAAATTTACAGTTTCTCATGTGCCCAGCATCAAAATCAAAAATCATAATATTCTTTGACTGCTGTGATTATTATGGACTCAAAGGCAATGGAGTAATGTAACATAAAGCAATGTATAAAGCTGTGTAATAAAAAACAAGCTTGACCTAACCGCTCGTATCTTTAATTCTCAGGAGACATTTTGGGTACAGCCTTAAGGAACATGGAAAACCTCCTCCATATGCCTTATGGCTGTGGAGAACAGAACATGGCCTTGTTCACACCCAACATCTATGTCCTGGATTATCTGAATAAGACTGGGCAGCTGACTGAAGAGATTAGAGTCAAGAGTACTGGATATTTAACCACAGGTGACAGCCTTTCACATTCTTTCATCTAGTATTGTGTTTAAACTTTGGAGCTCTAATTGGTGAACGCAGATCTCTGAATTCTAGCACCACATGTGCTAGACTTTGAGGAGATCAGCTCCAGAGCAGAGAGTTGCACAAAGGTCCTCTCCCAGCAAAATGACGTTTAAAACTGCAAAATGAGAAGTGTGGTGGCTGTAACAAGAGGCAGCTCTGAGACAACGCAGACAGAACCAGGAGGAATGGCAGCACTATAAAAATCAAGACAACCTCAAAGACTTCCTATAGAGACTGGTTTCAGGGCGTAGGCTCATGCCGGAGGCCTTTGCCAGCGAGGCAAAACCACAGTGAAAACCGCTAACTCAAGAACCCTAGAGCCTCTGGGGAGAGGCAGCTATAATACAGCATGGGTGGAGCCAGGAGAGATGGCGGAATCTGCCCACACGTACAAAGGCAGCCCCTAGGAGCACTAGTGACTAGGAGCAGGCAGATAGGGTATGGTGTGGCAGTAGGGAATGTTGCGGCACTGTGCAAGGCAGTTCGCTCAGGAAGAGCAAATAGACAGACCCAGCATCCTTGGGCTAGAGGGGTAAATTCAAAAGGGGATTATTGCCTTCTAGGTACAGGGCTATCCTGTGATTGGAGTATAGGATTAACGTCCCCAGAGAATAGAGACCCTAGTCAAGGTATCCACCCGATGGAAAGCAAGGGCATTGGCAACCAGCAGGAAAGATGCCAAAACTCAGCTTGATCTCTAAGGCAAGCATACGGTCATCCAGGCCTCCAGCTGCACGGAGTGCCTGAGCCTTTGTCTGACATCCTTTGGCAGCCATGAGAGCAGCTGTGTGAGGTGTGAATGGGTGGATAATTTGTTCAGCATAGTGGAGAAGTTATGAGATGAAATATATAAGTTTAAAAGTGTCATGGGGACCAAGAGGACTGAGCAGAGGAACTACATTGCCCTTGCAAAAACAGGTCTACCACAGAAGAAGGCAGAAGATCCAAAGAAGACTGTATCCTATCACTCTGAGGCTGAACTCAAAGAAAACTCAAAGGAAAGGAAAGAAAAGCTGGAAGAAAATCTGTTCTCAGAACTGCAGAACTCATTCACTCTAAACCCCCAAGTGCTTCTGTATAACAGTACAAGGCTCTGGATACAGAATGCCTGTCTTTGGGTGTTAACAGCCCATTTACACTGGAGGAATAAATAAAATCAAAACAAAAAAAGCCTTCCACCATTGTCAAGGCTACATCTTCAAAGAAGAAGAGGGGGTTATTAGTTATAGAGAGCTCTTCCCTGCAGAGAACTGAATGCCCAATACTCTAAGCATATCTCCTTCTTAGAGAAGTCATCTTAGAGAAGTCTCTATGGGGCTCAGGTGAAGGATATAATGAGATGATTACCTAGCCTGGTATGGCCAACATCACTGCTTTTCCACTTGGAAAGTGATGAAACGGCTACATGCAATTCAAAGGCCATCAAAAGGGACTTCAGGGCTTTGGAACATCAGTTGAAGGAATTGATGGCACAGATAATCTTCTGTTCTGGGTAAGAAAAAAGAAATTGAAAGATCCTATTGATAAACAGCTGGCTTTGTGACTGCCTCTGCTATAACTTTGGGTTTTTTGAAAGTGGAGCAGCCTATATGGCACCAGGCTTGCAGGAGCTAGATAGGGTTATCCTTTCTCAAAGGGGGAAGATGGTTCTTGGCAAAAAGCTGTCAGGGCTCATTGTCAGGGGGAGGGGGGCTATAGTGAGCCTGCCCATGATAAGCTGTGGGACAGCATAGTTAGGTTAGAGGAACTGGGTGCTAGTGGGGGCTGTCAACCTGCTGCACGCTTGAGACCTTGTGGTGATGAAAGCAAGAGGAAGACTCGAGGTAGGTAATTAAAAGGAATTAAGGAGTTATCCTCAAAGAAATTGACAAGACTGGCTGCCCAGCTGATATGCCTGTACACTGATGCAAGAATGGTTTTTACAGCTACATCAACGAGAAAAGGAAAGTCCAGGAGATACAGGACAATCCAATACAGGACAGCTTAGTAACAACGAGCAGGGAGAAAGTTGAGGCAATCGACAATTTTCCTCAGTCTCCACTAATGATAGGTTTTCATACAACCCTTGAGTAGATGAGTCAAAAGGTGAGGACTTGGAGAGCAATGCCCCTCCTGCTGTAATTGAAAATCAGGTTCATAACACAGAAGAAACCTGAACACCCATATATTTATGGATCCAGTGAGATGTGTCCCAGAGTCCTGAGGGAATTTGCTGATATAGTTGCCAGGCCTCTCTCCATGATATTTGAAGAATGATGGTGGTCAAGTGAAGTGCCTGATAGCTTTAAAAAAACAAAACAAACAAAAAAAAAAAAAAAAAAAAAAACATCCATTTTTCAGAAAGGTTGACCCAGGAAACTACTGACTTCTGTACCAGGGAAGATCCTCTTGGGAGCTATGCTAAAGCACGTGGAAGAGAGGGAAGTGATGCAAGAAAACTAGCATGACTTCACCAAGAACAAGTCCTCATTGACCAACTTAGTGGTCTTCTATGATGGACTATATCAGTGGAAAAAGGAAGAGCTGCTTATGTTATCTATTGGGCCTTCAGTACAGCCTTTGTCACAGTCTTCCCATAAAGTCCTGCTCTCCAAATTGGAGAGATGTGGGTGGGATGGACTGACCATTCAATGGATGAGGAAAAAGCTGCAAGATCGCACCCAGAGGGTAGTAGTCAATGAATCAATGTCTGGATAGAGATCGGTGACAAGTGGTGTCCCTCAGGAATCTGTACTGGGAATAATGCACTTTAGTATCTTCATCAACTATATTGATAGTGGGATTGAGAGCACCATCAACAAGTTTGCCAGTGACACCAAACCTGTGTGGTACAATTGATATGAATGGGAAATGGGATGCCATCCAGAGAGACCTAGACGTGCTTGAGCAGTGGGCTCAGGAGAACCTAATGAGATTCAACAGATTCAGCATTGAAGCTGGGTTACTACAACCTTCACTATTAATAGAAGCTGGGGGATGAAAGGATTGAGCACAGCACTGCTGAAAAGGACTTTGGGTTTCTGATGGATTGCAAGCTGGGCATCAGCCAAAGAGAAGGCTTCAGGGAGACTATACAGAAGCCTTTCATTATCTAAAGGAGGCTATAAGAAAGAAAAGGGCAGATTCTTGGGAGCCTTCAAGGGAAATGGTTTCAAACTAGAAGAGAGGTTTAGATTTGATATAAGGAAAAGGGTTTTTTGTTTTGTTTTGTTTAGTTTTTTTTGGTTTTGTTTTTTTACAGTAACAGTAGTGAGCCACTGGAACAGGTTGCCCAGAAAGATGGTGGATGTCCTGTCTTTGGAAGCATTCAAGGTTAGGCTGAATGCGGCTTTGAGCAACCTGTCCTGTTTTCTGCAGGGGCATTGGACTGGATGTTATTTAAGTGTCCCTTTCACCTCAAGTCTGTGATTCTATGTATTGCACAGAAGCCTGTGATGGCAGCAAGCCAAAGAAGCATTTAGTACTGTCAGGAGCATAAGTGGCTAGAATCTTTGTGTTAAAACACAGTGTGCTTCTGTTGAATAAAGACCATAACTAGTTCTTATCTCTGATAAGAAAACATCTTTATTGTATTTTCAGGATACCAGAAACAGCTGTCATACAAACACCAGGATGGCTCCTACAGCTCCTTTGGGACACGAGACAAGGAAGGAAATGTGTGGTAAATGATGACACTTTCTATTTCCCTAGTTCAGAATCTTTAGGCTTTGAAACGTTTCTGGTGATTCTTATTTTTAATGGACTAAATGGACATAGTTCAGTTAATTTGGATCTCCCACTAAGAGAGATGTGAGTAAAACTGGAGACGTTGCAACAGAATGACAATAAGATGGTCAGGGTCTGGAGCACATAATGCTCAAGGAGAGACTGAAAGAATTGAATTTGTTCATCCCATAGAATGGGAGGCTAATGGATACCTAGATACAGCCTTCTACCACCTAGATCAGGGCTGTAGAAAAGACAGTCAAACTCTTGTCAGAGGTGCACAGAGTAAGGAAAACAATTTTTCTGTATGCAAACTGCAGCAAGGAAAGCTGGATAGAATTAAAACAAGTCTTGCCTAGAAGAAGGGTGTAGCATTTAAGCAGGTGCCCAGAGATAGTGTAGAAAACTCAATTTCTGCAGATTTTTGCCATGCAGCAGGGCAAGACACTGAGCAATCTGACTGAGCTTTGATGCTGATCTTAGTTTAAGCAGGTGATGGGACTGGAGACTTCTAGGAGTCCCTTCCTACCCAGTTTATTTTATAATAGTGTTGGTTAAAGTAAGAAATTACTACCATCAATCATCAAGCTGTGTCTATGCTTTACTCCAGCTCTGAAAGAAAGGTTTCAGTGCAGTAATGGAGAAATCTCAGGTCAGTTTGTAATACCAGAATTTTAACTATTTATTTAAAATGTACAAAACACTTGTTTCTTTTACCACAGGCATTATGGATTTCATTCTATGTCCATTTCTATTCATATCCAGTTACTGGTATACCTTCTCTTAATCTTGTTCACACTTTATGTGCTTTCTGATTCTGGTTCACCTGTAGGCTCACTGCCTTTGTATACAAGTCATTTGCACAAGCAAGACGGTACATCTACATTGATGAAAACGTCCAGTCTCAAACTCTGATCTGGCTGGCAAGAAAGCAGAAGGCAGATGGCTGCTTTGAAAATGCTGAGTCACACTTCAACAATGCTTTGAAGGTAATTGAGTTCAGTATACTTTCAAACTTCCAGTCCTGCCATTGGTATCGATTTGGATAATTTCAGCTAGACGCAGGCTAATCACCCGACCCATAACTCTCCCATTCTCTGATGTCTCTTATAAAAGCAGGGCATGAGTATTGTCTCCCATTGATGATGAGGTAGAAACAAATAGAATTTTCTAAGTTAGACACCTCAGGTTTTTTTTTCCACCACTGCATTTAACTGCAGGCTAAACAAGATATTACATGCTTTATTACATGTGTAAAGCCAAGAAAAAGCACGCTTTTGGCTTTATCCTGACTGAACTCTCTTTTTCTTGTGCACACAGAGAGACAGAAATTGATTCTGATGTCTGTTCTAACTATTATGTAAACTATCATTAAAATCCTATTTTTTTGTTTTCTAGGACACCTGTACTGACTTTTTTTTTTTTTTTTTTTTTTTTTTTTTTTT